CCACATTAGGTGTATATGGCTGGCGCCTCAGCCACTTGAGCCACAGGTGCCGAGCCACAATTATAGAATTCTTTTGAAATGTTTTTTGTTTCCACAAAGTTTCATCCCCCCACCGAAGGTTAACCATTACCCTTAAAAGACTAAGACACAGATGGAGAAAAATATTTGCAAAAGACATATTTGATAAAGGACTACTATCCAAAGTAGACCAAGAACTCACAAAGCTCAACAATAAGACAAGGAATAACCTGATTTTTAAAAATGGGCAAAAGAATTGAACAGACACCTGATCAGAGTAGAGATACAGACGGCAAATAAGCATGTGAAGAGATGCTCAAAATTATATGACATTAGGAAATTGCAAAATAAAACAACAATGAGATGCCATCACACACTTATTTGAAGAGCCAAAATCCAAAGCACTGACAGCAAATGCCGTAAGTATGTGAAAGTGGAGGAGCTCTCACTCACTGCTGATAGGAATGTGAGCCGGTACAGCCACCTTGGAAAACGACTTGGCAGTTCTTACAAAACTACGTGTGCCTTTACCACGTGACACACGGCTAATACTCCTGTTTACCCACATGAGTAGAAAACTTATATCCACAGAAAAAACCTGCATGTAGACATTGATAGCAGCTTCTACAAAATATTTTAATATCAAATAAAATTTACATGATTAAAAGTTCTATTTCTTTACTTATACCATGAATGTAATTAAGCTAAGCAAGCATAATTTCCATGTTACATTTCACTTTTCAAGGGAAATACTGACGGCCTAACCAGGGTAGCAAATATCATAGCAAGTTTCTTCCCAGGATACCAAATATTACAAGTTCACATTGTTCTTGTTTGTGACCCCCAAACTAGCAGCACTTTAATTTCATCCACTCTGTTCTTATGTATTTGAAAAGCAGGTATTACCCATCTCCCACGGGTGCACTGTTCACCATACCGGTTGAAGGAATACAACTTGGCACTGCATTTTGGGCAAATAAGCTGTCCGTCCCTCACTCTTAACAAAGCGGATTCCATCCACTGAACAGGCTCAATGAAATAGATGTACACTGAGGCTGATGCCCTATGCTAACCATGAAAGGTAGTGTCATTCTCTTGTGGACAAAGGCTTCGGGCCCACTTCCTTCATTATGATCCAAAATACTAGAACTTCGAAATAAGGATCTCCTGCACTTCCTACATTTGTAGAGAACCTTATCTTTTGATCCTTCCAAAGTGGGGGTTGGGTCAACAGCAAAGAGTTCTTGCGGTATAGTCTGCAGCTCTGGATGCTTCTCTGTAACCATTTAAGGATACTGCTTACGAATTGCACTAGAGATAGCCACTTCATAACCCATTGCCTGCTATAATTTCAGTCGCCGCTCAAACCCTTCATTCATCTTAGCATCTGGTTTGACAGTCTGGGGATACCCACAGGCTATTTCAAAGGTGACCAGATCAGTCTTCATCACAAAAGCAGTCCAGCGACACTCCGACTGACCCCTGCGTGACGGTGCACTAACCCCGCACGGTCCTCGGCGCGGGACTTACTGTGATGAAGGCCACGCACCAGTCCAGATGCTGAGCAGGCCGCTCTCGGGTCTGTCCAACGCCGGCACAAACAGCCTCCGGAGCCCCTC